TTAATGGCTTAATTAGTCTCAATTAATACTAAAATTATTAATTAGTATAAATTAATATTAATAATCAACAATTGTTATTAATTAGTATAAATTAATATTAATAATCAACAATTGTTATTAATTAGTATCAATTAATAATTAATTCATTATAAAAGTATACAATATTAATTTATTAATAATTAATACCAATTAATATTGATTTTTTTAATTAATATTGATTTTTTTCTTTTTCTTCATAAATATACAATTTTTTATTTTTTAATTAATATAAAAATATACAATATGAATTTATTAATAATTAATACCAATTAAATTTTCAATTAATATTGATTTTTTTCTTTTTCTTTAGAAATATACAAATTTTTATTTTTTAATTAATATTAATATTAGTTAATATTAATATTTGAGTATTGACGAGGGTATTTAAATAATTTTAGCCCTCCACACTAGCTGCATGCTTAAGTTAAAAATTTAAACATCCTTTGACCAGCTTTTGAGATAAGCTGAGAAATAACTTGATTTACACTATAAATTGATTAATTTAAATTATACCAAACATAATATTTTAACTTAAATTACACTAAAAACTAAAATAAATAACTTATAAACTCTAGCACACATGGCTATTGAATCGTGTTGGACTTGTGTCAATGAAGAAGTGCATTAAGAGATCTACCCACATCACCAACCCCACTTGTCTCCGTTAGCGACAACTAAGCAACAGTCTATTCCATTTATAAATACTAGCCTATTATACACATTTATATTTATTTTAGATTTTTTTAATATAGAAATTTTGTTTTGTAAGATTTTTTATAAAAATAATTTAACAATCTTATCACTAGCCATAGTATATGAGAGAAGTTGAAAAGGGTACTGCAGTAATTATACACGGATTGTATCTATAATTATTTGTATAAAGAGATTTTAAATGCTGATCAGGAAATTTTGACCAAATCAATAAATGCAAGCATGTGAAAAGACATGTGGATTAAAAAAAGTTAATAAATGTTGATCAGAGAATTTTAACCAAATCAATAAATGTTGAGTTTTTTTTTAAATAAAAAATAAAAAATATAGAAAATTCAGATTGGGATATTGAAGCTCCCACAGGCCTTGGGGTTAAAAACCCTTTTTTGCTTAATATATAGTAAGTATAGATAGCCTATCACCCGTGCTATGCACGGGATAATTATAGATATTTATATTTGTTTTAATTTTTTTAATATATAAATTATGTTTTTTAAGATTTTTTATAAAAACAATTTAAAAATCTTATCACTAACCATAGTGTACAGGAGAAATTAAAAAGGCTACTGCAGTAAGTGATTTTAAATTTTGATAGATATACATAAAAAAATACATAATTATATTATTAAATCATAATTCAAATTTAAATGTTATATCTTTTTGAGATCTATAGTTAAATTCTTTTTTTTTTTTAATTTTTGTGTGTAACCATAGTATATGGGAGAAATTGAAAAAGAGTGTTGCAATATTTATAAGAGAAGTCAAAAGAGATTGTGGGTTGGGAGAAGTCAATAAATGCTGAAGTTTTTTTTTTAAATCAAAAAATTAAAAAATTAGGATTAAGAGATTGAAACTCCCACAGACTTTGGAGTTAAAAATCCCCTTTTACTTAATATATAGTATAGATAGATAACAACCCTGTCACAATCAAAATCAATCTATCTATTTATCTACCAAATCATCCAAATCATGAATGAAAAATATTTTAAAAATTAAATATTTTATTAATATTTTTATCAAATATTTTACTTAGGTATAGAATCCACATTATGGGTCTTTTGACAACAAGTCAATTTTTTTGACTATTTAACTTTTTTTTATAGCTTGTTTAGTTTCGTTTTTATGAAAATAGTTTTTAAAAAATTTTACTTTTTTGTTTTCTGTATTTTTTTATTTTTATTAAATTTTTTTAATATTTTAAGCAATTTTTAGACATATCTAACATAAATATACTTAAAAAGTAAAAAATTTGTGAAAAAAACCTTTATATCTAACATAAATATACTTAAAAAGTAAAAAATTTGTGAAAAAAACCTTTTAAAGATTCACTAAATGCCAAAAATATACAAAAAAAAAATTGCAAGAATTTAATATATTTTTTGTATTTTTATGTATTTATTAATTTTTTAAAATATTTTTTTATAAATTTTTTACTTTTTAGATACATCTAAGTAAGTTGCATCTAAAAAAGTAAAAAAAAAAATGTTTAAAAATTTAAAAATATTCACTAAAAATAAAAAAATACGAAAAATAAAAAATTCAATTTTAAAAAAACTTAACCTAGAAAATTCAAACCAAACAAAAAAAAAATCACCCAAAAAATCAAAAAACTAAAAAATCAACTTTTTATTAACTTTTCAAAATACCACATATACAGTTTAGGAAGTGATTTTGTGGGATTTTTTTGGCTATTTTAGCCACAAAAGACAAAATAAGCTATTTTAGCCACAACAAACAAAACATCACATCCAACCCATAATCATTACGCTCTTCTCTCACAAAAAAAGTCAAAAAATTCAAAAAGCCAAAAAACCCTTTCCAAACTAAGGGATTGTTTGGGGTGTCCTAAATAAGCGCACTTTTTGTCTTTTTGGATTAAAAAGTTGAGGAAAAAAATATGGATGTTTGAGTTAATTTTTTGACTTTTTATGAAAAAAATGTGTAATAAAAAATTGTAAAAATTAGTTTGTAGGGAATTGTATGGAAAAATTAAGATCGGGAGTTGTGCAGTCGTAATGGTTGACTTTTGATGAATAGTGTTAACTTTTTAACTTTTTGAGTAACTTTTTGACTTTTTGAATTTTTTCATACTACCCAAACTTGACCTAAATTTTTTAATACAGATTAAAATAACCAAAAAAATTAAAAAATCAATTCACTTCCCAAACCAATATATATCTTTGATAATAATATTAAGAAAATATTTAAAATCTCCACCATTACTCACCATAAATTCCTCACCCGTGTCTCCGCTTAGCACAACCACATAAAAGTGACTAGACATATATATTGGAATAGATAACGTCGGAAATCTAGAAATTTTTAAGGGGACAGTTGAGTAGTAGAAATTAAATTTATATAGTGTGAGATGTATATAAAAAATAAATAAATTTGAATTATAAGATGATAATTTTAGATAGTTTTTGAATAATTAAGGTTAAATTTGTAATATTATTGATTTATATTTTTAATTTAAAAAGGAAAAATAATAGCACAATGCAAGTTTAGAAAAGAAAAGAAAAAGTAAATTACAAATATACCTTTTGAAATTTACTTAAAATATTAATAGTCTCATGTGATTCTAAAAACTACATCACACTCCCTGAAAATTTTAATTTCATAACAAATGTCTTATTTTATTAATAAATTATCAAGTTAATGAACAGTTTTTAATAATATCATAAATTTATTTTAATATTCAAGTAATTTTACTATTGTATAGGAGAACAGTTAGAAATTTTATTTTTTTAGTTAATTCTATTAAATAAAAAAATTATGACAATTGGATATTTATAATTTTTTAAACCACAATGAACAATTTATATTTTAAACAAATCTCAGAGGATGTATTTATAATTTATCCCAAAAAAATTATAAATCAATGATAAAATTTAATTATTAAAATTCTATTTCTTCATGATTCTGTAATTTTTTTTTTTAAAGTTAAAACTGAATTTTAATTTCCCCGTTTAAATTAACCAAATCTAATGATTTATTTATGCAGATTAGGTCACCACCACTACCCAATCTTTGTAAACTATGACTCTTTCCGATTTGAGACACTACATTAAATTAGGGTTTTTGGAACAAAACTTTATAGAGAAAATTATTTTTTAAGAATAAAAATATTTTTATTTGTTAAAAGTGTCATTATTATATTTTTAGTAATAAAATTAAAAATTTAATAATGAATTACTATCCTTTTGAAATTAAATTTGTTTATCTAAAAAAATAAATATTGTTCAATTTAAATTATTTTATCCCTAAAGGTACCTTTATTAATGACATTTTCAAAATTTATTGACAAGCCAAAACAACAACTCATATGAATATAAAAATTTATAAAATTAGAAATATTCAAAACAAAATGGTCATCGTATGAAGAATGAGACACACAAGATCTACACTCTCAAGTTTAGCTACCTATGTTACATGGACTCCGTTACAGGTGCTGGGTACGTGTGTGTATTTCAATGTCAGACTTATCAAATCTTAAATTTAAGAATATGAGAACTCGGCAAAAGTGTTTCATATTTTTGTATTTTTAAATCTATTATGTGCGATAAAACAGTACTATATGTAACATACAACGTCAAATAAATATTTTATAGCAATTACACAATAAATCATACATCTAAGATAATGTTAAATATAAATATATGAGAAGGGTCCGATGAAAAGCATCGAACATATATCCCACCTTTGTTTGATTGTCGGTTCCGACATGGACATTTGATTTTTTTTGTAAATTCCACGCAACAAAAGCTACAATAAGAATCAGTGTGTTTGGTTTTAATTTTTCTAGATTCAATTTTTTAGAAATTGAGTTTTTTATTTTTCGTGTCTTTTTGTTTTTAATGAATATTTTTAAAATTTTAAACAATTTTTTTTTACTTTTTTAGATATCTTGCTTAGAAGTTAGATGTATCCAAAAAGTAATATATTTTTACAAAAATATTTAAAAAATCAATAAATATACAAAAATATGAAAAATGTACTGAATGTTCGTTTTTTTTTTCTTATATTTTTTTGTATTTAGTGAATTTTCTAAAGATTTTTTTTTTACAATATTATACTTTTCAAGTATATTTTTGTTAAGTGTGTATAAAAATTAAAAAAATTCAGCGAAAAAAAAAAGAAAAATAAAAAATTTCAATTTTTTTGAAAGGTAAATCCTAAAAATTGGAACAGACAAGCTGAATAGTAGCGTAAAGGGAGGTTATTGGAAGCTACTACTATGAAATGGGTACCTTGTATCCTCTGAGTAGAAGCCATGCTAGCTGTGAAGCTCTGAGGTTGATATTCGAATTCAAGAACTTACAGAGGAACGTTGTGTATATATACATATCACAACCCGTTTTGATTTGTTCAAACTCGTTCGTTTGCCACCTCTAATCAGAATGGAGATCGAGCTCCTCTAGAATCCAGTAGTACTAGTACTAAGTACTTTCTATAGGAAAGAAATCATGCGTAGAACATTGTTATTCACTTCTGAGCTTCATGAGCTACTCAAAGTGTTGTTTGATTGTTTTGCTACAAAGGTGGCCTATAAATAGCCTCTAAACTCTACTTTCAAGCCAACTACAACTAGTTTTTGACTCCTTTTGTTTTTTCTTCTTATTTTTAAGGTCATGTTTGAGTGTGGTATTATTTTTTATGAGTTTAAGGGGTCGTTTGACAATGATTTTTTTAGTTGATTTTTTAATTTTTTTGACTTTTTTAGCCTAAAATTTTTTTAGTCGTTTGGTATTCTTGTTTGGCTTTTTTGACTTTTTGGCTTTGGAATGACAAAATTACCCTTAGTATAGAATGATGCTTTTTTGGCTTTTTATTTGTATATAGGGTAGTTTGGTACTTTTGTAGCTTTTTTTTTTGTTGTGATTTTATAGCATCTTTTTTTTTTTTGTCTTTTGTGATTATATAGCCTAGCAAGAATGCCAAACCAAGGCTAATGTGATAGCATTATTGATAGAATTATGGTGTTGTTTTGTACAATTTATTGTAAGTTAAAAATTAATAATCTAAAAGTAAAAGTCAAAAGCACTCCCCATAACTTTCAAAAATCAACTTGTTCAAGTTACTTTTGCCTAATAAACTATATATAAAAACTATACTAAACAGTCTAATACAAATTTTTAGAATAAAAAAAGTTATAAGCCACACATGTAAGCTACATCAAACATGCCTTATGTGTCATAAATTATATCATGAGATTGATAGAATGAATAATTAGATATATGCTAGAACAAAAATGCTTGAGATCACTAATTAGTGGTAGCACTAATGATGTGGCAGTGAGTCTCATCCACTGTCACAGTGTTGCTGTACCTTTTTTTTTTTTTTTTTAAATATATGCCAACTCATTAGTGGTACTTTAGAACACTACTTTTTGTGGTATATATCATTGTTGTGTGCTAGAATTATGGATATAATTATAAATGATAAGTTAATTGATAAGATAAATGATTGAATAGAGGCACTGAGGTACTATAAGAATAAAATAAAATAATCCGGAGAGGTTTAATAGAAGTGCTTTCAATTCTCTTACGCTTTGTTTGGTGGAGAGAATTAGCGATGGATTTAGAAAGAGAAAGAAAAAATGTGTGTGAAACTACATGAAATATAAGTATATTTTATTTACATTTCATAGACCTTTTTTATTTTATTTTTTAAATCACTCCTTAAATTTCTCAACTAAACACACCATTAAAAAAAATATTTAGGACTTTTTTTTTTTTTTAAACTCTTATAATTTTCTTTAGTTCTCGAGTTGAGATTCAAAGGGATTGTAAGGTCTCAAAAAAAAAAGTATGAATCATTGTTATTCCCTTGATACCGAAATAATTGTGGTAAACTACGAAAAAAACAACTTAGAAGTGGGACCCGTATATTTCTTACCCTCACGTTCCTCCATTTTCGATTGTTCTTTAATGTTACAAACAAGCGTGCAATAAAAGTATTGTTAAGTCCCCCTCCCCTCTCAAAATAAATAAATAAATAAATAAATACAAAACATTTTTGGTCGCTTTTGAAACAACTTGATGAATTTTAGAACATTTTTAAAAAAATTCTTTTGCCTTTTCACAAAATTTTTTCACCACATTTTTTACGCAAACCAATGCCCCGGGGCACTAGTTAGCGTTTGAGTTGAATTGTTTTATACATGTATCACTCATTTTAAACCAATCCATTTGTCACCTCTAGAAATATATCATTTTTGTGTTTTGCTGTTTTAATTTCCTTTAACTTGCACTACAACAAATTTAAGTTTTAGAGTAGAAAAAAAAAATTAGGGACAAATTTACTTTTTAAGAACAAAATATTTTTATTGCCATAATATTTTTAGCAATGAAATTAAATATTTAGTGATAAATTATTATCTTTTGGAATTAATTTTTTTTTGTCTCTAAAGGTGAATTTATTAGCGATATTTTTAAAATTATCGCTAAAAGTCATTTTTTTTACTTTTTGAGACGATCTGATAGCAACTGTCCTTAACGACAAAACATGGTCCCCAAAGGATTTTTTTTTAACAGAATTTTTACTTTTAAAAATAAAAAAAAATTAATTATTAAGGCTCCGTTTGGCAAGAACTAAACGGGATTTTTTTGGCTATTTTAGCCACAAAAGACAAAATAGGCTATTTTAGCCACAAAAAATAAAATATCACATCTAATCCATAATCATTACATTCTTCTCTCACAAAAAAAGTCAAAAAACTCAAAAAGTCAAAAAGTCCTTCCCAAATCAAACTTTTTAGCCCAGACTAAAATAACCAAAAAAACTAAAAAATTAAAAAGCTAAAAAGCCAATTCCCTTCCCAAACGGAGGCTAAAATTCTTATATGTTGTAATGGGGCTCAAATATTTTTCATTGATTGTTTTGCTCCAAAAGTGGCCTATAAAATACTACATCCAGTTCAGCATTTTGTACCAGTGTGAAACTTTACAACTAATTCTGACATTTTCGCTAATTTTAATAGATGCCTTCAGCACAAGAAAAATATAAAAAATAAAACAACATAAAATAATTTGTACTGATTTTATTACCAGATTTATTGATTTTATAACATTTTTTTAAATAATAAAAAAAAACACCTATTTTTTAGAATATTTTTCATCCTATTCTTGATGCAAACCAATCTAGGTAGGATGTTAATACTCCTTTATTTACTTTTTGACGCCTTGCTAATAAATGCTCCTCTGACATGAGAAGAATAAAACCAATGGTAGTGCTACGTTGCTCGAAATCCGTGGCTCAAAACCCGACTCGACACCAAAACGACGTCGTTTTGGTGTCGATTTTTTTTTTTTTTCTTTTTTCCGTCTTTTTGTTGCAAAACGAAGAAGGAGATGAAGAAGAAGGGAGAAGAAGAGAAGGAGAAGAAGGGAGAAGAGAAGGGAGGAGGAGGAGGTGGGGCGAGGCGGTGGTGGAGCTTCCACCTGTGACGATCGGCGAGGAGCAAAGGTCCTGCGACGACGGCGGCAACGGTCTGAAGCTGCGACGATTGGCGATGAGGCGACAGCGGTGGTACTGCGCGACGATCTCCTCCCTCCGTTCTTCCTCTCCCTCCTCTCCCTTCTCTTTCTCCTCTCCCTCTTTCGAGCCAATTCGATGTTGGAAAAATTTGAATTTAAATTTACTCCAATGGTTGTGTCTCTTGAGATAGAAGGGTGTGTCCTTTTGAAGGCTCACAACCTTTCTGAAGAGTCACATAGAAGTCTATATATTCCATCTCCCTCACTTCAATTTGGTCAGTGAATTGTCATTTTCTTCTTCACTTTGCATTATTCTTCATATTTTCTGAGTCTCATTTTCCTATAAAGAGAGTTCATGCACAGCAAAGTTCGCTAGGCTTGCAATAGTAGTGCTGCTAGTGCAAGACATTGATCGTTGTATCCTGGGAGATAGACGTCCAGTGAATCCTAAGCACCGGTGGGAGGACGAATCTGTCTTAAGGAAAGAGTGTCACACACTCGACTCGATCAGGTTTTATCCTTTTATGTACTGTAAGTTTAATCACGTTATTATGTTGATATATTTCAGTTTTTGGTTTTGCCTAAAAAGCATTTATATATTTTCCTTATAGTTTGGTACTATTGTTTCTAACAATCTTAAGACAGATTCGTTTTTTGGGAAAATAGAAAATTTTGATTAGTGTAAATAGAAACACAACCCAAACAAAGGAGAATTTCTTGGGAATTCCAGCAGTATATTCATTGTTACTGTTTGTTTGTTTAATTTTCCAAAAATGAAGAGAGGATTTCATTTCCTTCCTGTATGAATGAGGATATTAGGTTTTATATATGATCAAGATCATATGGTGATTTCATTGGAGACGGGTTACACTGGATTATCACTCTTTAAGTGGTTATTACTATTAGTTGCAGGCAGTTACTAATAGAAATTCTAATTATATAGGCACCTTTTCAAGTTGAAAGACATGTTTTCAGAATTTTCAAATTCTGAAAATTCAGACTAATGGGTGTGTTCTTTCATATAGCAAACTCTTTTGGGTGTTATTCAGTCATGTTATCGTTCCTTATATATGGTAGGAGTGAGCAGGCTTCAGTTTGGTTCGATTTTGAAATTCTATGAAATTTGAAACCCAATCAAACCACCAAAATCTTGGAACCAAATCGAACAAAAGCACGGTTCGATTCGGTTTGGAAATACAGTTTTTATAAATGTTGTCATAGTAACAAATGATCCCTTGTAGTTTCCAGCACAATATTGAATCTTTGAAGAACTTGAAACTGTATTATAAATACCCCTCTGCGTTTAAGTGTGAATCGGGTTCAGTGGCTATGGCTGTTAAGGAAAAATGAACTTGTGGCCTTCACCTACGAAGTCACATTTGTGAAGAGTGATATCAAATGGCCATCTAGATGGGATGCTTATTTTTTTATTTTTTTTTTAAAAAGGAAAAAAAAAATTATGTTACACGTAGCATGCATGCTACTTTTCTACCCTTTGTGTTAATCATGAAGAAGAATATATATACACCACTTTGATTCAGATATATACTTGTGTCTGCTTATTTAAATAAATGTTCTCATTGGGTATGACATAATTAATTTTTATTTGAGAAATACTATGGATTTAAATTTTTTAATTGTTAGAATTTCAATTTTGTAAATTTGTTTATAAATTAATATCTCAAGTTCCTCTTACATTAAGGTATAAATATTTTGTGAAAGTTTTTAAGAATGTGTTTTAAAATCAAAATATGATTTTAATTACTAAAATCTGGTATGATTTTTGGTTTGTGAATTCTTGAAACTAGAGAAAATATAAAGTATATGTTATATACTTGGGAAAAATTTATGAATGTAATTTAAAACCAAGTGCATGGTTTATTGATGTCATTTACCTGAGGGTGTGTTAATTTGGAATGAATTTTATGCCATCATGTTGCCATATTTTATTTTATTTTTAAATATTGTGTGACATGTGTTATTTTTGACTGATTTAATTTCAGTGCTATATATGGGATTTAATTGGAGTTTATTTAAAA